TCGCTAGTTATACTTTGATACCAAGTGAGGTGCCCTTTGAGTTGGGGCTTCAGAGGGGAAGTCTTGCCATGAGAGACTCCATCTTGAGGGGTCTCCGAATGCCCTGGGGCACTCTCTCCCACTCTAATGGCCTCTGGAATCTCTCTGTGTTGGGACTCTGCAGGAAAGGGTGCCCCATCGCTAGTTACAATTTGAGACCGAGTGAATTGCCCCTTGTGTTGGGGCTTCAGAGGGGACGTCCTGTCTTGGGGGACTCCATCTTGAGGGGTCTCAGAATGCCCCTTGTGGATTCCCAGTTGGCAAGCTTCACAATAATCCTCCTTATGTAGCAGACGACTTCCTGGGGGTTCCAGTCCTCTATGTGCTCTTGGTAGCACCTCTTTCTTATGGTGAAGACCAAGTCCTCCAAGACATTGAGGATGGTCTCCTCAGTAAATTCGGGCTCTTCATATTTGCTCGATCCACAATCATGGCACTTTTGGTAGAAGAACTTCAGCTTCACCCGTCCTCGCTTCACAGATCGCTCCCAACGCAGGTAGAACAAGATCACTGCTGGATGCGAGGTCCATCCGCGACGACATTGTGAGCATGTGAATCTAATGAAGAAAGTCAGGGGGAGGAAATGAGAGAAGACATAATTAAGACGCTTCTCTTAGGCTTCTCTTAGAGTGCTAGTTCTCAACCTCGGGTATCCAGATGCCCTTGGATTAAAATCTCCACAAGCTTTCACCTATAGCTGTTCTGGCCAGGATTTCTGGAAGATGCAGTCCAAAAATATCTGGAGACCCATGGCTGGGAACCACAGTCTTAGAGCCATGATGATCAAATTTGGGGTTACAGACTGAGCTCCTTCCTCCTCTCTCGTGAAATCAAGCGTGCTTTTAGATTTTAGTTTTGCCACACCAGCGCTTTCCTCTGCCAGCTCTTCATCCTTTGGGGGATAAAGTAGGTCCTTTGGGCTCCCATGGAAGGATAAAAGAGGGGGGTGAGAAAAAAAGGCCAGCTGGAAAGAGGAGATGGCACTTAAAGCTTTTTATTTTAAAAAAAAAACCCTTTTTAAAATTAAAAGATTATGAAAAGCTTTTTAAATGGAGATTTGGGAGTCAAACTAAAGGCTTGGGACTTCGACTCGAAGACTTGCCGACTTAACTGTTGTCTGAAAAGATGCATTCCCAGGTTCTGACTTAATTAGATGTACCAAGGAGATTCCTGTCTTTCTGAGTTCGAGAAAGGATTCGGTGCCCAGTATGACCTTCCCCCACTTCAAAGGGTCTTTCCTTGCATCTGTTTATTCCCGTTACGCGAGATGAGTTTGGGCAAACTTCTCCAAGCTTCATGTCAAGACAGGCCAAAGGGAATCGACCCCCACAGACACACAGAGAGAACTTCCAGAAAGGAAGCAGAGAGTTTTTTCTTGAAATGCGTGGAGTTTGCTTCCAAGACTGGCTTGGTGGAAACATGATGGGTGAGCTGTTTAAGGAATATAAGGCTAGCCAGTCTGACATACTTGTTAGCATTCAACTGGGATTTGTGGAAATGTGGATTCTAAACCCTCCACATCTCTTATGGTTTTATAAATACAGAAGTAAAACAGAGGACATTATTTTGTTTAGTCGTTAAGTCGTGTCCAACTCTTCATGACCCCATGGACCAGAGCACGCCAGGCCCTCCTGTCTTCCATTGCCTCCTGGAGTTGGGTCACATTCATCTTGGTCGCTTTGATGACCCTGTCCATCCATCTCCTCCTCTGTCATCCCCTTCTCCTCTTGCCTTCACACTTTTCCCAACATTGGGGTCTTTTATTTTATTTATTTATTTATTTATTTGATTTTTCCCCCGCCCCTCTAGACCATGTCTACTTTTCCAGGGAGTCTTCTCTTCTCATGGGATAACCAAAGTCTTGGAGCCTCAGCTTCAGGATCTGTCCTTCCAGGGAGCACTCAGGGTTGATTTTCTTCACAACAGAGAGGTTTGTTCTCTTTGCAGTCCAGGAGATGCTCAAGAGCCTCCTCCAGCACCACAATTCAAAGGCATCAATTCTTCGGTGGTCTGCTTTCTTTATGGTCCAGCTCTCACTTCCATACATCACTACAGGAAAAACCATAGCTTTGACTATGCGGACCTTTGTTGGCAAGGTGATGTCTCTGCTTTTTAAGATGCTGTTTAGGTTTGTCATCGCTTTCCTCCCAAGAAGCAGGCGTCTTTTAATTTTGTGGGTGCAGCCATGAAAACAGAGGACATGCACTTCCTTAAAAGCATGGAAGGATAGAAGTGGAGCTGGGTGAATATTTAATTCTTTATTTAAAGTAGTTTTTTTACACATACGCCCTTCTCCTTATAGTGGACCCAAGAGGGCTCACATCGTTAGAAGATAATGTTATTACAAATATTAAAAAGGATCAAACAAATGCCATACAAAAAACCATAAGCAACATCAAACTATATTTAAACCACAAAGGCACACCATCCCCTTAAAATCCCACTCAGGCAACCGGTCACTGAGGGAAAGCTTGCCTTAAGAGAAGGGTCTTTGCCTGCCTGCAGGAGAGCAAAGACAGGACCAGGCTGGCCTCCAGTGGGAGGGAGTTCCAGAGTCTCTGGGAGCAGCCACTGAGAAGGCCTTACCCTGTATCTCCACCAATGCACCTGTGAAGGTGGCGAGACTGAGAGAAAGGCCTCTCCTGATCATTATAACATCCAGGCAAGCTCATTAATCACGTCAGCCCCATACAGACTCACACATTTTATAATAAATTGCTTTATTTGCTAAGCCAGAATTTTTGCCCTTTTGCACTCTGGCACGTTTTCCTCTGCACATGTTCAGAGGCGCTTTGTCCTCTCACTGCATTTAATACTGGTCATAGACAGGGACTGGGGGCTCATAACAGACAGGCACTGTGTCCTGAAGCTTCCGTTCGTCGTTTCATCGTTTAGTCGTTTAGTCGTGTCCGACTCTTCATGACCCCATGGACCAGAGCAGGCCAGGCCCTCCTGTCTTCCACTGCCTCCCGGAATTGGTCAAATTCATATTGGTCGCTTTGATGGCCCTGTACAACCACGTCATCCTCGGTCGTCCCCTTCTCCTCTTGCCGTCACACTTTCCCAACATCAGGGTCTTTTCCAGGGAGTCTTCTCTTCTCATGAGATGGCCAAAGT